GATTCCAATACTCTGCAGTGCCATCTAGGGGGCGCTAGTGTCATTCGAACAGCATTTGCTTAGCTGTATGCCAGGAGGAACTTTTATACATGAAGCCCTATGTGCTGTGGATTTTTAAAAAACCACTCCTTATTACCCAGAGAACACCATTTCCCATAGCAATACCGGTGGAAGCTTCATGATGCTTTACATTGACTGGGACTAGGAAACTGGTTGAGGGCAAAATGGATGGTACCACAGAACAATTCAACAGGAAAAAACCTGTGCCAAGTATGTAAGACACCTAACACTGGGATCGTAGGAGGTAGGTTAAAGGCCAACTATACTTTTCAACAAGATGCATTAATCTTTTTCTCTGGGATCCCTAAAAAGAACCTGTACATGCTCCTTTTCAGTATATCGATACCTTAATATTACCGCCATGACCTCTTCAATCCATTGGCTCCTGGCTGCAGGAATGTTCCCAGGATCAGCCACACCTGCGCACTTTCTCCCCTTATTCCTATAGGCCCAGCTACTCAACATATCTAACCAATAAGTCTATGGAGAGCCAGTGTGGCTTGTGATGTGATCAGTGCTGCTGGAAGGTGGCGGAGGCTGCCATTGCTGACTTCTAATGGAAGTGCAAAGTGCCTGGTACTTGGGCTGCCCTTCTGGTTTACATACATTAAAGGAATTGTAAAGTCCCGGCATAGACTCTCCTGTTATGACATCAGCATTGTATTAGGAATACATAGTAGAGTTGTTTTTGATAATCCAATCAAAGCTTACTTGAAAAAAATCCCTTTTATGTAGTGAGTGCTGCCTTCTGTCTGCCCATCACTTCCAAAAACTTCCTGGATTCCCAGTGTGCTTTGTGTGCTGCTTGATATGATGTAATCTCCATTCATCAAGACTTCATATCCCAGCATGCATCACTTCCAGCAAGCAGTGATGATGATACATTGTGGTAAATTCAGACTTTGAGGTGTAGTTAAGTGCATACAGTATTCACAGGGCTGGGTGATAATGTGTCAGTGCATTGAGGAGGTCCATCCTATGGGCATCTTCAATAAGTAAGTTTACAAACCACTTGATGTACTGTATATGGGTATTATGAGCGGGAGAGAACTTATGGGAATTTAATCTAGGAATACAGATTTATTTTTAGTTTTTGACCATAGATACCCTTTATGGTAAGCACAGATCTGTGGAAGTGGGTGGGGTGGATGGGTTTTTGCTAGTTAGAATAGAGAAAAAGGATAGTTACAGTTACCCTTTAAGTGTTAGGTGGTTATCCTTTAAGGGTTATGGGGTTTATTTATGGTCAGGGGTTATTGTTATGGAGAAGCATAGCTGTTATGTATTAGGATTCGTGCAAATTATAAAAAAGAACTCCGGCCAAACAAACAAATGTACCCTTGCAGTGGGGCTACCCCGGTGTGTGGCTGCACCGATACCGGTATTTTGGTATGGAGTACAAGTACCGATATTTTTTTCCCCAGTACTCGCCCATACCGAATACCGATACCGGAAGTCCCATTAAGGAAGCCAGGCGGCGTTTAAAGACTCGCCACCCGGCCTCCCGATTAGCAGGGAAGCCGTCTCAACGCTTCCTCGTCACCAAGTGACGAGAAAGCATGGAGCCGGCTTTCTGGCCAAAAAATGTAATGACTCGCTGCCTGGCTTCCTGATACCGGACGCTCAAGTATCGGGCTAGGCATCGGAGCATTTGGGCGAGTACCAGCACTCGCCCAAATACTCGGCATCGGCACCGATACCAATACTAGTATCGGTGCATACCGTGTTTCCCCGAAAATAAGACACTGTCTTATATTTTTTTTGCCCCCAAAAAACACACTGGGTCTTTTTTTCAGGGGATGTCTTATTTTTTTTTTTATACTGTGCAACAAAATGTACAACAATCTAAAGTTATCTGGTATCACTCCACCTGTCACAGTAACCAGCGCTGTAGAGGAATATCGGTTAATGCGGCTCTGCTCCCTCCGCCGACGCAGCCTTGCTTTCTGCAGCGCTGGCATGCTTTGCCATCAGGGACAGTGGTACCAGCGGTGCAGCAGTGGGGACATCAGACAGTGGACAGCGCAGTAAAGTATGGTACCATTTACCGGTACACATTACAGTACAGTACCATTACATTAAGCAGTGCCTTCAGGGGGACAACAGTTGGTGAAGTATGGTACTGGAGTGCTCCCTGTCACTGCGCTGGCCGGAGGGAGTCCCCTGTCATCCCCTTAATACAGTATGTCCCTGCAGGCTGATACCATCTCTCCTGCTCTTCAAAGTTTCCCCTCACATGCTACCACCAAACTAGGTCTTATTTTCGGGGTAGGTCTTATATCACAGGAATCTTGAAAAATAGTGCTAGGTCTTACTTTCGGGATAGGTCTTATTTTCGGGGAAACAGGGTACCTTGTAAAGTGCTAATTTTGTCTAGGGGAGTCAAACAAGCAGATATGCTCACCTGAGCCTCGGACCCACTAGGCTGCTAAACTGGTCCCCTCAGCCTCTTCTCCCCTGGGCATCGGCAGTCTAAGGACCGCTGACATCGTTGTGTCTAACGCATGACTTCCATCAACCTGCATTAGACGTGAAGGACACCAAGGAGCATTCCATAGCTGGAGTGGAGGGAAGAGAGGTAATGAACGATCACTGCAGGACTGAGGATCAAGTGAGTGGAACTGCTTTATATGAGCCCCCTAGACAAAACGAGCACTTAACCCTTGCACTGTGGGGGTAGCTCCACTGCATATGTGCCAGGCATGGGGCTACATTGCCTTCAATCTATTGGCGCTGCTATGGCTTTACCTGAGGCTCCGATGCTGCAACACTTGGCTTAGATTATATGATATAATTTATCATGATGCTAACATGACGGTAGGATTCTAAATGTCTGTTAAGCCAACAATAGAGCATTGCTTTATTTACCTGGAACCTGCTCCTAACTGAAGAGTTGCTCAGTCGTCCAACAGGGACATGGATGGACACATGCCTAAAATCTCCTCTACCAGTTACTATCCCCTCTGAATAGTGCAATATGGCTTCCTGGAGTTCCGCTTTAGTTTTTAGAGTTAGGTTAGGTCTTAATGTTCAGTATTAGTGGTTAGTTTAAAGAGAGACTGTCAACTCACCCCCAGAATACTTATACTTACCTAACCAGAGCTCCACCGTTGTGCCTTCCTCCGAGACCATCTTCTCTTTGACCATGCACGGGCCTTACAATCAGTCGCTAGGCCCGAGCATAGTCACATGATCAAAGAAGTGACATAACAGCTCCCCATGGTCAGCTCCAAGTTTGGGGGGGATCGTGTGACCATCTTCTCTTTGATCGTGCACGGGCCTTACAGTCAGTCGCTAGGCCCGAGCACAGTCACATGATCAAAGAAGTGACATAACAGCTCCCCATGGTCAGCTCCGAGTTTGGGGGGGATCATGTGACTATCTCCTCTTTGATCGTGCACGCAGGGGCGTATTTACCGCGAGGCAAACTAGGCGTTTGCCTAGGGCGGCACCCTCCGTCTGGGCGGCTGCTCCGCTGGTGCCGCCGTACGCAAACGCCTAGCGCCGCGGTTCAGTAATGTGCAAAGAACCGGAGCCCTTCTCAGCGCACGGGGACGCGGCCGGCGACTTGCGGGAACACGGCCGGCGACTTGGGGGGACGCGGCCGGCGGCTTACGAGCACAGGGACGGCAAATTGCGGCGACGCGGCCGGCGGCTTACTGACCCAAACACAGTCACATGATCAAAGAAGTGACATCACGGCTCCCCATGGTCAGCTCTGAGTATGGAAAGGGGGGGCATGTGACCATCTTCTCTTTGATCGTACACGGGCCTTACGGTCAGTCGCTAGGCCTGAGCACAGTCACATGATCAAAGAAGTGACATCACAGCTCCCAATGGTCAGCTCCAAGTATGGGGGGGATCATGTGACCATCTTCTCTGACTGTACATGGGCCTTACAATCAGTCAATAGGCCCAAGCACAGTCACATGATCAAAGAAGTAACATCACGGCTCCCCATAGTCATCTCAGAGTATGGGGGGCATGTGACCATCTTCTCTTTGACCGTGCATTGATCTTACAGTCAGTCACTAGGCCTGAGCACAGTCGCATGACCAAAGAAGTGACATCACTGCCCGCCATGTTCACCTCTGATAGAGGAAGGAGTGATGAGCGGGCATAGGCAAAGTGAGTATAAAGAGGTCGGGGTGGGGGGCCTTTACAGAGGCATTGTCCCTTTGTCCGGAATGAGCAAGGTGACGGTGTCTCTCTAGGCTGGATTCCCATTGTAGGGAGCTGCTGCATTGCGCTAATATGTGTCACTGTGTGTTATGAAGAAACATTCCTTATGAATGGGCTGCTGACGCATCACAATGGTTAAAGAAACCTGCCTGACCACTTTTTAACATTGCATTGCGGTGTGCCAAGGTATGCTACAATGCATGGGGTGCCATTGTGTGTCATTGGCGTGCAAACAAACGCAGTCTTAACCCTAACCTTTTGTAAACCTGTGTGAATTTTTTTTATTTTTGCAAAAAGTGGACTGTGCCTTTAAGACATAAAATACTGCAGAAATAAAGGTACGCGGGGACCACCATCTCTCTCCTATCATATGCAATGGAAGAACTGGAGCAGACAGCGTCTGGAGCAGGTTTCCCTAGTGACCAATCAGCTTCTCTCTTCTGATGGTTCAGTTAAGCTTTGAAAATGAAAGATAGAAGCTGATTGGTTGACGAATGGCAACTGCTCCAGTTTTGATAAGTTCCCCTTTAAGAGTTTGGCTGCTTTCATATTTCCAGGAAGACCCCCAAAGCAGCCAAACCAACCACTCTCCCGCAGCTCCTCCCACCAGCTCTCTCATAATTCCGCCTACTCCCTGGCAAGGACGTGCAGCCTGCGACCACAGTTCAGACTCCGCCCATTTATTGGCATGAGAGCGGCCACGCCCCGCGGTCCGTGAGCACTGCGGCGCTTATGGGGAGATCTCTGACGTCATCAGTGTGAGCCGGGCGGTTGCGTCTTTCTTCAGTGCAAGAAGCGGTGGTGACAGAGGAGAGCGGAGCGTTTATGTCCCTTCCTGGTGTCTGGTACGTGTGGACACTGGACAGGGCCTTTTATTACCGGGGTGGGCACTGTACTGGTCTTACTATTGCTGGTAACCGTGACATGGCACAGAGTTGCCCGTCCTATGACCTCTGGGGGGTGTCACTGTGTAATACACTGGGTGTCATTTATCTGCTGGGCATGGTGAATAAAACGTGTGCTGGAGGTAAAACTGCTCAGAGCAGACAGGGCCTCTGTCATCCCTATAGAAATGATCGTGGAAGGTGACTGGTTGCTATAGGCAACAACGTATTTTCATACATCAAGCCTGTTGTGTCAGTTCATAGCTGCCAAACTGTCCAAGAAAATTAGAAAAACAGTTTT